GGGGGGGGGGGGGGGGGGTTCAGGGAAACAAATTGGAAAGGGAAAGTAGAGGAGAATTGAGTGGAGTAAAGTTAGGTGCGAGGAAAATTCTAAATGAAATGACAAAACGTCACGGAGCTGAGAACTTGTGTCTGCCGTCTCTCGGTGACGTCACTCTCCCCTATTTTATGATACCATTACAATTATATAGAGATATAGCAGTCACTACACAACTGGAGAGCCTGAAGCGCGAGTTTCGTCTCCGTAGAAGCACGACGGTATATTAGATATCCGTTCAGGGTGTAATTTCAACATTTAGACCCCACAAGGCACAACCTTCCATAAGGGTTTTGACCTTCGTTACACTATTACCTCCCCGGTGATAGAATCCCAAAGCAACGGCTGATATACGACCTCGATCAAACGACCAATTTGAGGGTATTGTTAGTCGAGAAGGGTGTGAGCCAAAGCGAATTGAAAATGAGAGGGCTGGCACATTGAGGACGGTGGTCTCGATGAGGATCTAGGTAATCATGGGAGGGAAATTAAATTCAAACATGCTGCCCTAATAAATTTAACTTTTTCATAAAACCCGTGAAAACTGTGGGTCGAGCTACTTGGGGGTACCTTGATGAATCAATAATAAGGTAAAAGGTGCCCCACGATTTAATATCCAACGTCGACTTACCGTCAAAATATCAGTGGCGTCTCCAGCGAAGTCATCTGAAACAGAAAGGCAATCCAATGAGACATTTCATTTGGTTTCTCTGAAAAATCGAAAGTATGTCAATCTCACTCTTGGCCATTTGATAAATCATCTTTTTCCCTTTGCCCGAATTGGGCGATAACGACGAAAGTCATTCCTCGAAAATTATCCTACTCTTCGACCGCCAATGCGAACTTACTGTTCTGGAATTGGGAGAGGAGATTTTATGGGACGGTGGTTCGCGAGAAGGAGAAACGAAAGAGTGTTGAAAAATATAAAAAACCTAAGAGGAAAGGAGATAAAAGAGGCAAAAGAGAGACGGGAGAGAGAGTAAGGAATTCTTATCTGTTAATGTCTGATACTTTCCTACTGATGGATACAAGTAAGATCTCTCTCGTTTAATGGTCAAAGGGGGTTTTTGGTTTTTCGTTCAGCCGCGGTTCTACGTCAGGCTGTTCATCATCCTTGCCAATTCTCATGGAACTTTCTCCAAAAGACACGGTATATTGCAGAAAAGGCAGCAAAGATAAAACAACGATTACCAGGGAATAGTGGTCATATGGATCTGCCGAATCTTTTACAATGAAAATGGGCCTCCTCCAGGAGCAGAACGACCAAGTACCAAGAGCAAGACCAGCATGTAGCAAGACCAGCAAGTACCATGTATCGAGAGAAAGAAGAAATTCAGTACTAGCGGATATTAACTGGGAATCCTAGCACAAGCTTCTCCAGCACAATAATATTCGCTATGCCGCAAACGTTCGCGTGTGCTTGAGAAGAAAATAAAATTTCCCAATTTTCGCAATTGTCCGGTAATCCTTGTTGCAGTGCACGCTTTATCGGTCATCGTGTAGGTTTTCAGCTTTTTTCCCGAGTTTCTAGAAAGTTCAGGAATATAAAGGTAAAAATGCTTGATAACGGATCCCTTCGATCGTGAAATCAATATCCGGCTCGGTGGGAGGAGCAGTCGCGGCACGGGACGGTTGCGAAGACAGAGAATTTCATCTGATTTTCCTTGATTAAAGTAACGAGTGGGATAAATTTTCAGATAATTACGGGAGAACTAAGTAAACTCGAGTGAATCTAAAAAAAAAAAGCAATGAAACGAAGAGACTTAGGCGCACCTTCCAGCCGTGTCGAATATTCTCTATATATTATTCAATAATATCAATAAAGCAATCAAAGGAAGGGTAGATGGAAGGACAAAAGGTGAAATCCTCGTATCGAGCGATATTCTAATTAATTTCGGTATTTCGTTAATTTGATGTAGCTCAGGCTGTAGGAGGGGCGAATGCGAGTCACTGATGTGAGCCTGAAAAAGCATTCCAGCTACGTTCCACTATCTGATACAAATGTGGTAGAGTAAAAAAAAGAGAAGAGAGAGAGCTTTAAAAAGGACTTTGATTAAATTCCACGACGCTTTAGGGGACGTGTCCGTTCGTATTCCCTGTCGGTCAGCTGCGGTAATGGTTGCCTCCCTGGTCATTGGGATAATCCAGCATCCCGACGCCACCAACAGACGCACCACGAGTGCACCAAGATGTCGTAAATAGAGAAGACTTATATCCCGCCAGCCTCGTAACCAGGAAGACTGTCTTATACGTGCTTCCCATAGGAGGTTAGTCCTCAGAAACCGATGAAATATTTGAGCGGGAGCCGGGGGACGATATTTCCCCAACTCTCCGAAAAAATAAAAAAATAAAAAAATAAAACGAAACAAAATTCCATACGTTCCCAGACGGTTTCTTTTCAGTCCTTTTGTTTCCTCTTTTTACGAGAGAAATACGAGAACGGCCAAAAAACAAAGCAATCCATTCACGTTCGTTCAACGCAACAAATAAAGACGCGATCGAGCTGTGCGAAGCTTCAACTCTAAAAGCTTAGAGCTTGAGGCACGGCATTGAACCTCAAAAATAAACTTTACTCAACGTAGAATTCACGTAAGGATCACATAAAAAAGGAAACGACTGACGACCACTGCTTAATAACAAAACGAATTCCTCGTAGGGCTTATTTTTTCCATTAGAAGGGCACTTTTAATTTCCCAAAGGTACCGCAGCACTGTTTCGTATCGAATACTGCAAACATATAGCCAAACGCTTAGAACTCCGTAAACTGTTCTGCCTGTCCAGCCCTATACCATTTTACTCTTCGCTGCTTTTCCGAACTCTCTCGGTCAGTCTCTCCCTGAGCAACCAGTGATTAGGGCCATTTGTTTGGGCTGTACGTGCTAACCCTGCGCTTCCGATTCTGGCCACGCATGCACCTGACTCAGCGGGCTCAGGTAGCTACGCAACCAGGTAACTGCGCAGCTGGAAGCTCTCACTGGAATATGCGAAATACGTAACGGGCAGCAGGTAGGGCGTGGTGCACGTGTAGTGCTGCGTGTCGACTACCACACGTGCGACTTGATCACGTTGACTCACTTATTCTTAGAGAAGGGACAACCTTTTTTACCCGGTGACCCCCCTAAAAAGAGATCCCGGACTGATAAAGGCGCGAGAAAAGCATCCCCCCAGCTAGAGGCGGAAATGTTGAAAGCCTTGAAATTTCAGAATGATCGAACCGACCTCGATCTAGGAACCCAATCATTCGAGTAACCACTCACATATCGATCGCACGATGCTCCATTGAAATTTTGCGACTTTATGCATATAGAAACGAAGTATAGTCAATTACCGCTCGTTAGAGTGCGAAAACTACTTTGCTTCGAGACTGCGGCTCGTCATTGATTTCTCTCGAAAAACTCACTAGAATGCAGCAGTGGTCACCCGGCCGAGAATTCGAAATTCCTAAAAAATCGAGGCAGCCGAATCTTTAGGTCGTTGGGAAGAATACGTAGAACGGGAAGCGCAGTCCGAGCCCGAGACCAACTGCCAACCAAATTCTTCTAAATTAATTCACGACCCAACCGTGTGCCATCTACTACCCCTATTTAACGTAATTGTCTCAAGCCCCATTTTCTGCGCGCGCCTTAAATTTCGCACTCATACTTCATGCTAAGGAAACTATGGAGTACAGGGCGAAATGGCCTCTCGTGCCAAACGCTCGTGTTTTCAGGATTTATCAAGCCGTCAAAAGAATGCTGTAGCCGCCCAAGCCGAGCGCCAATGGAAACCGGTATATGCAAATATGTTTTTTAATGGATAACTTATAACGAGATATACGGAACGATCGGGAAATTGACAACGCAGAGGAAACGGCGGAACTCGTCAGTTCATTATCGAAAAGGAAAAAGGATAAAAAGCTACGCTGAAGGAGACACTTACGTCACGATTGGTAAAAGCACCTCGCTTTACAAAGAGCACTTTCCGCGGCTCTTCGTTCCCTTTAGCTTTACCTGCTTTTCTTGTTCTCGACATTCGTCTCTCTATTCTCGTTTAGTAAACTACCCTTGAGAAATTGCCCGTAGAGACACGTGCGCTCGACAACACCTTCTTCAATCTTGAGTCGCTAACCCTTCAAAAAAAAAAACGGACAGCCAGAGTCCTGAACACTGCCTATGGCCGTTCTCAGAATGCTATGGGCAATTTCTTTGTCAATTAATTGCATGGGTGATGGTGCGCGTTACATCTGCGGTGTAACGGCTCACCCTATATACTTAAATATACGATGCGTCCATTCACTATCAGAATATTGCGCAAACTACTTCAGATCGTCTCCAACGCTATTACTGCAATGCGTATTAATTCTAGCCTTGTCAAGTGTGGCCCGTCTCACAGAATGTCACTGGTATAATTACGAAGCACCGAGTAGATATAGATATAGTACGTACCTCGCGGAGAAGCAGTGCCATTAGAGCTCTAAGTCTACGAAACTTGGAAAGGAAACAAAATGGTCGTTCGAGTGGATCTCTTGATAGCAGCTGTGTGTCTTCCGTGCCATTCAACTCACTAAGTGAACTCTGAGGGTTCTTTATCGAATTTCGTTCTTTCTCAATTTGTTCCACTTTCACCCCCATTCGTCGGTAAGTTCTAATAGCCAATTCAACGTAACACTCTTTGATATCAGCCGATTCAGGGTTGACTTGAAACAGGCGATGCGGTTATTATTATACTTTATAATGGGCACTTTGGCAAAAGTACGACGCGATATTGACTTCTGCCTGAGATTTCGCGAAACTTGACAGAACTATCTGCGTATTGACCTCCTTTCTCAATTTCCATGTACGCAGCAAAACGTGAACTTGGTGCCAAGGGTGTATCAAAACCTAATGTAGCAGGGGTGCCAGAGAAGGACCAACAGGGGCTGAAGCCAAGGATAAGAATTTCACATGATTCGAGGGTGGGCAGAATGATCCCCCTTTGAAAAGGGCCCCTTCGTGTAAAGGGAGGGTCAGTCGACCTCAGTGATCCTCAGATGGGTGCTTGCGGGGATATTTCTATCGCGCCCACTCCCGCATGCTTACGTGCTTAATATAAACTTCGGCCTTGGCAAGGATGCCTCGATAATCGTTGCATAATGGATTAAACGCCCTGGCAACAGGTATCGCGCGTTGTAAACCGTGCCTGACTTGGAAACCAGATCGCCTAGACCTATTTCGAAAATATCCTTAGGGGGTTATCATGGTCCTTCGGACGTTTCTTGGGACTCGTTTCGATAGCAACTTATTTTCTGCCACTGTTGTCAAATTGGTTTCTCCTTTTTTTCCCCAAGACGACGAGGATGAGCGACTTTGGGATAATTGATTTTTTTTTTCCACTAACCTTCGAGTTTCCCATTTTGCCTTAATGCCTTCTTTACTCCTCCTATCTAATTTCCAGATTTTTTGTCTCCGACCCCTTCTCGGTCCAGGTCCATTCATCTCCCGAGGTCTCCAGGAGTCTCGAGGAATTCTCAAATAATATCGTCGCGGCTTATTGATAATTCAATTAAGACCCAGTGTTCTGCCAGCCGAGAAAAGCTTCAGCAAAGTTTCGGATATTAATAACCCAAGACGTTTCTCATGGAATTAAGCCCTAAAATGTTACGAAATTCGTTAACCCGAGAAGACCTCCAACGTCGCAACGCACTGACG